AATGATAAAAGGAATGCATCATTATCTTAACAAATCTACGGAAACCAATTCTCAATGTAACTTAAGACATGAATGATTCAATGTTCCTTCGATGAAACAGCTGGAACCAGCTCACACGAAACACAATTTTAGGTCTAAATTATGCTATAAAAAACCATTAGCAACCAAACACAAGCAAAAACCATAATCATATATACTAATTTAAGCATTAATATTAAATCTTAAGATAATAACAAAGCATTGAAATTAACCTAATTCCTTAAAATTTTGGATTTCAAATCAATTTCATTGACATTATACGGCTTAAGAGACCTAGAAATTGACTTCTTCAACCTAATCAGGTTAGAAAATGAAGTAATCATGATCATATATAAAATATGGATCGAGCAGTAGTATATAAAAACAAATGTAGTTTTGACATGGAAATATAAGGATTATATATTCCCATATGCAATGGAGTATGTATATGTATAAATATTTTATGCTTTCCAACACTAGTTTCTGAGCTTAGAAAAATGTAATTGCCTGGGGATTTTGATTTGTGGTAAGAAGAAAAGGGTGCATGTTCCTCGGAACAAAAAGAAGAAATTGAATTGAGGGGAGCAAGGTAGTCAAGTCTGGTCGGTGATAGTGAGTACCAAAGAGGAAACTTCTTGTCAATGAAATTAAAAAAAAAAGTGACAAGAAATTTATAAATATAGTAAATTATTATAAAATAAAAGCATATAATAGTAGTAACACAGTTCTTGCTGGAAATTAAGGAACAAACAATACTGAAATAAGAAAAAAGAAGGGTTAAGCAGGGCATGCATGCGTGGTCTCCATGTCATGTCTGTCGGGTTGATCAGGCTTTATGAGATTCTCTTTTAACCTGTAAACGTCCAAACATGTCGTTTTAAATCTTAGTAATTTTGATCAAGCAAAGAGCAAGTCCCCACCATTAATTGCTTTGTGTCTGTACTGTAGCCATAAAAAGAACCCTTTAACTTACTATTCCTGGAGATTTGTGCATCCAGATCAGGTTTGAATTAAAATTAAAATTCCAATTAAGAGGACTTTGAATTACAGTTTTGACAGTGATGAAACCTAGATGTTGTCCATTTCATAAAAGCACAAATCCAGGTGTGATGAAAAAATGAAAATCTATATATCCTCAAATTCTGGGCAAGAAAAAATATTTTCTTAAAATTTTTTCCCCTCAAAACTAGGTCCCATCCATATTTTTCTCTCACACCCAATCCAAACTGGGCCCTTCCTTATCAACCTTGAAAATGATTTTCTCGATAGAACTCTTCGGTTAGACATTCCGGTTTCTGATGGCAAAAAACAGAAAAGAATATTCCTGTTTCCTGATCGAACAGCAGGCCAGCACATTCAAAGCCATAAGCCATCAAGTTCCTTTTTTTTTTTTAATTGCAAATCCGTTGAATGTCAACTGACTGCAGCATTCAACGAGATCAGACCTTTCTAAGTTTTGAACACCTTTTAAGAGTTACTTACAACCAGTCCAATCAAGTTAAATAGCATTGAAGCTACAGTTGAATTTTCTGAAGCCATGGTTTCACATACAAAATTTCATCATGCCGTGCCATCCACATTATTTCCCAGTGATTAAATGCCATTTATACCACTTTGGTGAGCCAACTGCCTAACCTCATTCATACAACGTGCGTAGCACAAAATAAATGATGAATAAAAGGATGAAAGGAATGCCATGGTAGTCAATTTTCCTCTCCTTTTTTGCTTGGATAAAATAAATGATGAATTTCCTTCCATTATCACAAGGAATTATCTACTTATTACGGATCAGCATTCACTTATCAATGGTTTTTATTTGCATTTTGCAATATTTATACAATACAATTTATGGGATTTGTATATGCTACTCAAGAGAAACCTAAATTTAATTTTATGTAAATAAAGTTTTAGTTTAATAATAAAGAGATGGTTTTAGAATTTCGAGATTTTAAATTTAAGTTTTATTTTTTATAGGTTTAATTTAAAATTGTGTTAAATTTATGTAATTATATTTTAATTTATTAGTTAATTAACTAATAATTTTTTATATGTAATATTTGATTATAATAGTAATTTTTTATATTTATATTTTTATAAAAAATAAATTTTATTTTTTAAATTATTACCAAAAATTGTCAGAATTTTGTTTGACATGAGCTAAAGCGTTTTCTCATTAGAAAAATAAACCCACTTTAATTTCCCCATCCCATGAAATGAAACGAAAAAGAAAAATCCCCCTACTTTTTATTGTCCGTACAAAATGGAAACTCTGCCGTATTTCTTCACGCTCGTCAATAGCACGACCAAAACCAGCTTCCAAAGTAGACCCACGCCCACATACTGCGGTGGGGGGAAACCACAACAAAGACGGCATTGTGGGCTGAGAAAACAAGCGAGAGAGTGCCCTGCGCGCGCGTTGTTTTCAGTTTTTTTTTTTTCTTATGCTTTTCAAACTCGTGCTTTGGTTCAAAATTGCCCTCCATTTTTTTTAATCATTTGATGTAACCGTTGATTTGTTAGGTGTCTCACAGTCTGCTATCAGTGGAAAATTTACAGACTCGTTGTGTGTTTTCTTAAATTACGCAAACAAAACTGCATCCGATTTTGGCCACAGTAAATTTTCGGAGAACTAAAGGGGAAGGAGCAGTCAAATTGAATTCTTATGGGCACGTTGGAAACTGTTAATAGTAATTTTATAATTTTTACAAGGTATAAAATCCAGATGATGAATCTTTTCCTTTTTTTTTATAAGGGAAAGAGTGTTCTATTCATTTCTTCTTCTCGTCGTTCATATACTTACTTTCAAGAAGAAAATTTTTATTAATTTTCAATTCAATTGAAATAAGTATTTATGGTTTAAATCAAATGATTTATTTACAATCAGGTAAACTTTTACAAAATTGAGATTCAATTTCGATGCTTGTAATTTTTTAATATTTTTTTCAGGTTTTTGACATTTTTATAAAAAAAATTCAATTAAGATAAAAATCTTTAAAATTTTTTATCGGCAGTATAAATGAGGGAGGAGATTTGGACGTTGATGTCTTTAGTCTTACACTGCGAGATACCAGTGTTCCATCACTAACAGAGAAGGAAAACGCGAATAGGACATAACTTGTCAAAAAATGCCTTAAAATGCAAAATCTGTATTGGACAAGAAAAAAGGAAAGAAACTAAGTTATTACACCTTCCGTTTCATAAATTTCTTGCCTCTGACAGTTCTCAAAGGTTTGGTTTGGTCTATAAGTTACACTTAGACCCAACCCCTTTGCCCAAAATAATTGGCAGTAACCAAGTAAAGCTACCATAGCACTTTATCAGAGACCAGCACTTTATTAAAAATTCATGCTTAATTTAATTAATTCACGTAATTATTAAATTTAAACATTTTTAATATGTTTCTTTATTCTCAGACAACCTTTTTTATAAAAAGAAAAAAAGAGAGAGAAGCACTTTATTGCTTGGAGTTTGCTCCTAACTGAAATTTGCATTGACAGTTGAACAAGGCTTCAATACTCAGGTCTCCCTTCTATAACAAGAAAATAAAAGAAAATTTAACTTAAAAATTGAATTAGTGTAACAACAGCGGAAAGCAGGGCTCTTCAAATTTCAAACCATAAATTTGCCTCTTTTTTTTTTTTTAATTTTTCTTGAATGAAGGAGGCTTCAGGCTTTATTGGGATTCAATCTCTTCTAAACAGATACGGTAGATCATTACCTTTTGGAAAAGGCATGAATTAGAACAGATAAACAAATAACAGTTAACCCTCCCTCAATTGTCAGTATTTTTTATTTTTTACTCCCCTTTCTTCCTTTCTTCTTTCCTTTCATGTAGATGAGAAAAATTGTGCATTTTATTATGTATTATTTCATATCAAATATATGTAAAATACGAAAGTTATTATATTATAATTCGTATCATAAAATATTTTTTAGTTTTAATAAACTCGTACATTTTTGTTACAATTTTACATCATATCACTTTTATTTTTCTTTATTATTTTCGTGTCATGTATCACATTATGCCTAAAATTCTCATATATACTTCCAGGTCACATTTTGAGATGGTAGAAGAATAACAGTAGAGATAACCAAACAAACTAGTTTCTATTTCTCAGTAAAATAATTAACAGAAACAGGAAAAAGAAGGTTCACATAAATCAAAACTTCTTTTCTTTTATCCACTAGTAATAAGTATCCATCACATCTCCAGGCTTTTATCTTCCCAGATTAATACAAAAAGGAAATGACAATTGATTCCATTGTCTCTCTCCTTGTTCTCTGTTTAAAAAATTAAAATAAAAAAAAAAAAAACTAATTCTATTTTTTCTGTAATTTACAGACGGGATTTCAGAGAGAAGCAAACCAGTAAAAGACTTGGAACAATGGAACTTCTCCTACACTCTTCGAACTGATCCCGTCATGAAAATCTCATGTTGAGAGAGAGCTTTCACCAGATATGATGGTAAAGCAATCCATTATTACCCTGTAAATTGTTTTGAAAAAAATGTTCCAGCCGTGTCAATCAGTAAACGTTTCCAACAGAATTTGGACAAGAACAAACCAACAACTTGTCTTGTAAAATAATGCTAAGTCATGGATGCCTTTTTGAAGCTGGAATTTTCAATTTGGCAGTTAGGAATTTAATTTGTAGTTAGGCAATTATTGTTTGCTGCGAACTTCTGGAGTCAGGTATATTGACAGTATACATTTTGTAGCTGTTACAATAAGGAAAGTCATGTGGAGGATTAGACAAATGAATTTAGGATAAGAAACTTCATCCAAACTGTCGAAAAGAAGTGAAGGACCGACCTTCTTTTGGATTGCGGGCAACAGTATGTCTTTATCACCACCATGGTGTAGTTTCCTTAGGGCAGTGCCCACCTGTAAAATGGGGGACCAATCAAGTAGATAAGAATTAAGAACAAGCAAGAGATTTTCTGAGGTTTAAAATGGAAAAAAACTTGAACAGGGAAAGATGACATGATTTACAGCAACACTCTCAGTATTCGATCGACAGCTTCCATTTTCTACAGGAGAGTAAGACTTGACCAGAAATCCCTTTTCTTAAGCCTATAAAAGGTCTGTATGTTTACTTGGTCCATGAGATATTGATACATGGTAGGGGGAACAATTGAAAGCTATAGGTAAATTCCAAAAAAATCTACCAATGAAGTCTATTCATCATGACATTAGTAATAGCATATACTTTTCTTCCTACTAACATGACCAATTAGGACTGAGTTACTTTATTTCTTTTATTTTGGGCACACAAGAAATGAGTAAAATTACCTGCCTGATTGAGGAGAGAAAGCAGGGTTGGAATTCTGGAGGGAAATGCATTTTCTTTGTGAAACCTGTTAACAGCCCAAGGGAGCTGGCTTTAATTGTAAGTTTAGCAGTTATAAATTAGCAACAGTAAAAGTTTTATTCGATGTGAATTACCTTATACAACCATGCACTTAATCCTGAAGTGTAGCACAGATTATGGATTGTTTAAAAGTTCTGTCAAATGAAACTGAGTTCAGTATATCCATGTGGGTGTGACTGTGGCAACAGCTCTTCAACCTCAATCCTGGAACTACTCATGCTTTTCCTCATTCGATTGCGATTAATAGACTCAACCTCTGCTGAAAATACACTATAAACAGGCCTATGATCTGAGAACTTTGACTCCCCACGAACATAAGATAACTGATAGAGGCCTCTTCCATACCAGAGTATACGATCACACCTTCACAATTATAAGCTTGCTTATTTTCTTGTATTATGATTATCAGATCAATAGTTCTTTAAAAAAGCAAAATCATGTGACAATTTCTTCTCATAGCCATAAATTCCATAAATCTAATTTCCCCAATCACTTAAAAAAAGCAAAGGTGAATAGGGAGATTACCATGCAGGAGTTCTTCGCTTCTGCTTTGGGTGCCTATCCTCCCCAGCATATCTGTCTGAGTTATTTGAATACTTGTATGTAGGAGGGAAATATATTTTTCCTTCAGTCCATCCCTCAAAAACACGGCCTTGCCTCTGCTCTATCCGAAGCTGGAAAACCATCAATTTTTCAGATTGGGCAATTCTCATTGGAATTAAGAGCAGCACAAAGCTTCTTGAAAAATGAACATAAAAATAAATATACAGAATCAATTGAGAAAGGATAAGAACATGCCTGGTCATTCTCTAACAATGCCTTCCAATTGCGCATCTCAACCAAAGCCTTTGCACAACGATATGACAGAGCAATCCGATAATTCAAATCCCCTAACCAAATTATACGGCTGTGCCAAGACATTCAAAACTTAGAATTTTAAGCCAAAGGCTAAGAATAAATTTCTAACAAGACTGGAATTTCTGGAAAACAATGCAGTCTCTTAATCTGACAAGCATTAATAGAGTCAAAATTTAACATATTAAGGCTTACTCATGCTCTAGAATCGTTTGGGGCGAATTCTCATCTCCCATACCATGAACCCTGGGAAACCTTGTCTTTCTGAGGATCTCCATAACATCAGAGTTTCTTCGCAGCTCATCACCCTCCTTTTGCCCAGAGGTTAAATGACTACAGACGAAGCAAAAGCTGGTTTGATGCAAAGACATGCTAATAGAAATGGAACCCTGGAAAACCCAAGAAATGAGTATGCCTCCTTATTCCTAGTTCAACAAAATCTCTCAAATCAGAGAAAATTTCATAGTTAAAAATGTACCTTATTTCCAAGATAACCCATCAACCCTCTGCCAACACAGGACACTTTCATGTTGCCAACATCATCTCTAAGATCACTCTTCACCCATACTGTTAGAAATATGCCAACCATTTGCTTGCTGGCAACCAAACAGTATCTTGAATGGCCCATCTGTGTATTGCTTTCCTCCATGGCAAAAGATCCACTATAGTCCATTGGAGAATATTCAGCATTACCTGGTGAATCCCCAGGTCCATTATCATCATCAGAGGAACCCCATCTGAAATTAGGGTCATAATCACTTGGTCTATTACCAAAGATAACACGATCACAGACACTGAAGCGGCGATCAAGCCGGGGCTGTGGCATTGCCATTTCGTTATCCATTCTCATGCTACAATTCAAGGATTGAAATGATCGGCGGTGAAAGAAAGATGAAGCTTTCTGCCTTGTTGATCCTTCAAAGTCTGCATCCAGTTCTACAAGTGGATCAGAGATTGGTGAAGGTGTGTGGCAACCACCACTGGTGCCGGGAAGACTGTTCAGAGTCTTCTTAATGAGAGCCAGCCATTTCCTGGCCGGTCCATTGTCTTCAGTGCCCAAAATATTACCAGCATTTAAAGGAACGATTTCTTGAAACCTAAAAGGCCAAAGGGATTCAAGAGGCTTCTGTCAATATCATAAAATCTGTTTGTTTAAAAGAATCTATATGTAGAACAGTAGAAGAAAATCTGGATTAGGTTGGCATGGCATACCCGAGAACATAAATGTCAGCAGGAGGAGAGGAATGAAGCCAATCTTCAAGGTTCAAATAACTAGGAGGAGATTTTCCAGCCACATTCCATGTAGCTACAAAAACCCTGCGCCCATATGGAAGCAAAAAACGCAATGAAAACCAAATACTATTAAGGAACAACTCAACACCAGAAAGCAAATAAGAATACAATACATACCTATAATTATGCACATCTGTAACTTGCGAGCTATCAAAATCAATCTTACTTCGTCTAACTCGATCAGAATACCTCTTGCTCAATCTCTCTAGCATCCAAATCCAAGTAACTAATTAGAATTTTGTGGAGAAGAAAAATGGAACTGATTGAAACAATATTATTTTTTTTTAACATTCGTTTAATTAAAATTTGGGAGAGGGAGATGAAAGAGAGATGTGGTCCAAAGTAATCACCATAATGGCGTCTGACTTCTAACCTGTTTTACTTTTCTTGATAGCGCACGCCTCTCTCTCTGAGAAGTTGTGACTCCCATCTTCATCAACACCTGAAAAGAAAAACCATAAAATTGTTAAAGCTGCTCTATCAGCAGCACATCAATTTCGCATATTCAAACACCATAAAAAAACAAACAACATGGATTTCAGAAAGAGGAAGAAAACAAATAGCAGATCTTGAGTTGCAAATGCCAAGTATCAACCCCCTCATAAAAATTAAAAACCAAAAATACATTTTTTGTATAAAACAAAGAGTAAAATTACCGAAGTAGAATATTGCAAATGTCCAGGGTCTAGAAGAATCTAAAATCAAGACAGCTTTCACTTTCAAAAACAAAACCGTCCCTTTGTTTTTAGCCTGTAAAAGGCTAAAGATTCCAAATCCAAGAACCAAATTTATAATCTAAAACTCATGCAAGAAAACATGATAAAAAGATTTAAAAACCAATCAAATCACCTCCATAATCAACATCATCAGCATGAAAGTCCTCTGCTTTACTCTTGATATTGAACCACTTCTTGACCAATATCTTGGGCCATGAAAGCTTCATGAGGGAAATACACTTAACATAATCAGCAATCTCATACTTTACACAAAATGACACAAGAATCAAATGAGTTTCTGTCTTGTCTCAGAAAAACCTTGCTCTTCTTGGAGTTCCCATCTCTCATTGTTTCACGGCTTTCATATAGCCAAATTTGTAAGCAATAATTATGCTTTTGTGCAGTTGCTTCTTTTGGCTCAACAATGACTTGATATTCTTAGGTGTTATGCCCTTGATAAAATGTAAACAAAGACAAATAGAAAAGTACAAAAAATAATCTTGGAAACAGGAATTTTCAGAAAACAAGAGGGAAAGTTCAAGTTTTGTTCTGAAAATAATGGGAGAAAAGTGGGTTAATTATGAATGACAGCAGAAGAGAAGAGAAGGGCAGTCCTGTGTTCCCTCAGGTAATGAAGAGACAACAAGTGAGGAAACAAAGGAAGTTCCTGTTTTTTATCTGCATTACTATTTTATTTTTAACAAGGTGAAAACCAAAAACACCCAGTTGGGCATTTCCCTTTTCTTCTTCGGTCTTTCACTTATAAGTCTCTTCTGCTGGAAGTCTACGAGAGAAACAGAGGGAAAAGAAAGGAAAAGAGAAAGAAAAAGAAAAAACTGAAGGAGAATTGAAACGGAAACCAATAGAGAGGGACAGCAACTGAAGCGTGGAAGTAAGAATAAGAGATTCTGAGGTTAGAACAAGACAATGTAAGAGTCATAAAAGAGAGTTTTTTTCTTTGAGTTGGCTCCCTATTGAAACAAAAACCTCGTTCCGGGTACAGGGCAAAGTATCGAATTTGAAGAGAATAAAGTGCAAGAGAGCTTGGGTTTCTTCCCTCTCTCTCGTTCTATTCAACGGTGCCTTTTTTACCCCAAAATCCAATGCCTACCCAAAACAAAGAAAATCTTAAGAAAATGGAGATATCAGCCGCCCATTCACACCCAATCCTGCCCGGATCAATTATTTTATTTTGGAAATTATCAAATCAACTTAACGATTTGCAGCAGTAGTAGTATTTGTTTACTCTCTCTCCGTGTAACAGTTTGCCTCCGTCCCTGGCCAGCAAAGTTAGGCCTGATCTTGGTATCTGTTTGGATTTCACTGCAATTTTTATGCGGTAGGATTAAAATTTTCTTATTATTATCTATTGAATTTAAATATTAATTTTAATAAAATTTATTAAATATAATTTTTTTATTAAAATATTTTTTAGTGATTTTTTTAATTATAATTATAATAATATTTATTATTATTTTTAATTTTATCACAATTAATCTTATTATTCATCCAAATAAAACTTTAATCTAGTCTAATAGTAATAATACCCATAAACTAAACCTAGATAATAAAATTAGACCTGATGACACGATATTAATATAATATAAAAATAAAATATAAAAATGATATAATTTAAAATTTTAATAATAATTATATATAATTTTAATATAACTAAAAATATAAATTTTATATTTTTATATTGACATAAATTATAATACATAATTTTTATATAAAATATATACGAATTTTAATATTTTACGTAATATAAATACATGAATCATTAAATCTAAATAAAATGGTATAAAAATTATATAAAAATATAAAATAATATAGTTTAAAATTTAAATAAAAATTATATCTTAATTTTGATAAATTAAAATATATATTTTATGTTTAATATGTAAATATGAATTATAACATGTATTTTTCATATTTTAAACGTTTTTAACGTAAAACAATCACAATATAAATACACAAATTATAAAATCAATCCCAAAACTATACCAATATCTCCATTTGGTCTCTTCCTAATGGCAAAAAAATAAATAAATAACTAAAGAAGTAATAGAAAGATAAATGACAGTGCATTATCTAAGCATGGAGACTCTGCATCCCTTTCTTACTTCTCCTATTTAAAAATAATCTTAAAAATGATACAACAAAAGAAAAGGGATATCTTTAAGTTGGTTTACAATTGAATTTCCAGGTCCTATAATCAAATTTATTTCAACACTTAATCCTAAATTTACTCATTTGACATTTGAACAAAGTATTACTCCACATTAAGTCAAATTGAGTTAATAATACACAAAAACATGAACGTATGGGAAGTTTAAGGGGATTTTCATGAGGGTCAAGGCTGTTGCTGAAGCGTGGGTTTTAGGGCTCTCACACATCTATCCATCTATTATAGCATAGGATAGGGGTTTTGATAGAGGGAATTTTTGTGACAAGGAAGGGCTGCATCTCCAAATGTGTGCAAATTGTTGGGGGTTTTTTTTAACTTTAGAAGCATTGAATGTCCTCAAAACCTTCATCTTTGTTGCTTTTTAGTAGCCAATATGTTAAGCCTGCAATGAGCTATCCAATTTGGAGGCTCCTTTGGCTCAATCTAGACTTATGTCCACGAGAAACAAAGCAATTCTATTTTGGTGCTAATTTTTTAGCTACTTTGTTATTTTCATGTGCCATAAAAAGCATAGACTCATGTTTCTACCATAAATTAATGCCAATTTTAGGTGCTCAAAGAGATCCCTTCTTTCCAAAATATAACTTTGTCTACTTGTAAATAAGATCCTGCTAGGAATATAAAATTTAAATCAATTAATTTATATGATTACTTTTAAAAAATAATATTCAACAAATTTTAATATTTAAATCATAACATCTGTAATTCATTTTTTTATTTCAATTGTCTAACTATCTACTGTTAAGCTTAAACAAAGTAAATTCTCTTGATTTAAACTCCACCGTGCATGATTTCTTTAATTGACTAATCTTAAAAGCACATGCTGCATGTGGGAGACTGTGTCTGGTTCCTTAAGCAAACCCCTTAAATTTCCATATTTCAAGGCTCTTAACATTCACTTTATGTGCTTTTAATTTTTTTTAATGAAGTAGCTTAGGATTAAAATAATGAAGTTGACGGCTAAACGCTCTATAGGAACCCTAGCCTTGCTCTCCCAAATGGGAATCCATAACAAACAGTAGCATACAAAAAATACAGTACTAGTCTGAGCTAATAGTGAAGCTCCCACCAGCAACATTGTTGTAGCCATTCGGTCTCAATTATAAGCTGTCGAAAACTTTGTCCAAGTCGTACGTAGTTGTCGAGCCTTAAAGGCTCCTATCGACGTGGAAACCATTTAGCGATGCCGGGGTAGAGAGCGAGATAGTGTAATTTCGGTTTTCATTTTGTTCATGATTGTCCATCTAATCAAGCGGAGAATATCATGGATATTTGTTCTTTGTTTGCCTCTCTTGAAAATAGTTAATGGAAGTTAAAAGGGAAAAATTTAGATAAAATTTTTTAGGTAAAGTTCATAAAATCTTATATTAAAAATGATTGAATTAAAATTAAAATTAATAGATTTAAAAGTATCGATACATATATCAATATACAAAATTTAAATTTTTTTTAATAAATTTTGATATATATTTTTTGATAGATATTTTTAATAAATATATTAATAAAATTTTTATTATTAAATAAATATTAATCAAATTTGAATTATAAATAATAATTTTAATAATTTTTTTATATATTATTAATTTTTACATCAAACTCCATCAATTTATCTATTTTAATTTTTTATTAAATTATTTCTAATAAAAAATTTTATAAACTTCACGTAAATAACTTCATATAAATTTTATCCATGGAAGCTATTAAAATTCTTGACACTCGGCTGGTCCAATCAGAGTTTTTTTGTTAAACTTAAAAGAAAATACAAGTATACATATAAGTTTATCCCTTTAAAAATGAAATAGGATAAATTTTAAAATCAAACCATAGTTTTTTTCACAAGAAAAGTAAAGATATTTTAATTAGACTTCTAAATTTATTTCAATTAATTTATATAATCATTTTTAAAAAATTATATTTGATAAATTAAAATGTTAAACTTTAATGCCTAAAATTATTTTTATTATTCTTGAATTACGATTTTCTTTATATATAAAAATTCTTTAAACTTTTCTTAATTTAGTTTTTTTAATGAATCCAAAAATAAAATTTTAATTAAATCATAGTGACAAACAATGCGTAAATTTTGGATTTTTTCTTTTAATTGCATTGACTTTATATCATCTTGTACCTATATGGTGTACTATGATATAAACGAATACCTAAAATTAATGGGTTAATTAAGAAGGAAAAAAGAAAGTACAATATTTGAGTAATGTTCCCACAATGACAAAAAAAAAAAAAAAGACAATGCCTGGTGAGAGTAAAAACATAATATCATGAACATGACAGGTACAACTGTGCATGCGCTCCATGGCATATATCCCCACAATGGTACAGTTGTAACAGAGAAAGATCTGTATCGAAAATTAAAGAGCAATGGGCCCTATTGGTGAGTGCTGCTTCCAAATTTTCTAAATAAAGGGATTTCCCAGCAACTCTTAAGATCTTTCATTTTTTGGGTATTAGTTATTTTTCCTTTTTTTTTCTTTCAGAAACTCCCATTTATATGAAATGTGACCTACTGGGAATGCCCCTGGATTTAAGTTTTACAATGATATAATAATATGTTGAATTTATGGTTCGAGTTTTGATATTACAAATTTGATTTTGTTAAAATTATCACCAAATTTTGATATAATTTAATTACTGTCACAAAATTTAAATTCATTTTAAATATTTCAAATGAATAAATTTATTTATTATTAAAAATTAATTTAAAAAATTATAATTATGATTAAGTTATGTCAAAAGTTTGTAATAATTCCTATGAAATCAAGTGCACAAAATTAAAACTCTTTATGGTTCTCCCAAATCATTTTTACATGTTTTTGTACCTTATTCTCTACATGGTGCCATGTGAATTTAGGTGCTGTTTAATTTTGTGTCAGATTATTCGAATTTTTTTTGGATTTTAATGACCCCATCATTTGTTATTTATTTACTATATAATTGTGTCACTGTCCAATTAACGTATTTAATTATGAAAAATGAGCCAGAATCTCATCAATTCTTAAAAAAAGAAACCATAGTTCTCCATTTCTTTAATCAGCCAAAAGGCTTAGTAACTTGGTGCAGCCTCTTTAAACAAAAATATTCACAACGCCGCTCACATGAAGCTGCAATCACCGGTCATTAAACGAATATGGATCCCTTTGTTTAATCACTTCATTAAAATAAATTATTGCATAGACCATTCTCATTAAATTAACTGTAAACCCAATTGACAACTTTGTATTTAAGGCGTCGAATAGATTGTGCTGGATAGGTACAGTTTGTATTAATAGATCGTTCATTTATTTTTGTCATGTACATTTATTTTATATCGTTCATCCTATAACAATTTATTTTGTTAATTAAATTGTTACTTAACTTGAAGTCTTAATTTATTTTTGTTATTCTTTTTTTAATCACTAGTTAATATAATTTATCTATCAATAATTTAAATATTTAATAAGTAATTTTAATATAGTTTTATTTTATAAACTACCAATAAAATATCAAAAGTAAATAAAATTTTATTGCAATATAAAAAAATAATATAAATATACTCAAAGTTTAGGAACCTACTTATAATAATTATGGGCCAATATGGCATAATTGGGCTTGTGTGTTGTGCCGTGCCAATCCACGTGCCATATGTCACGTGCTGG